TTTCCTTTCCTTTCCTTTCCTTTCCTTTCCTTTCCTTTCCTTTCCTTCCCTTCCCTTCCCTTCCCTTCCCTTCCTTTCCTTTCCTTCTTCCCTCCCTTCCTTTCCCTTTCCTTTCCTTCTTCCCTCCCTTCCTTTCCTTTCCTTTCCTTCTTCCCTCCCTTCTTCCTTTCCTTTCCTTTCCTTCCTTGTTCTCCTTCCTTCCCTGTTCTCCTTCCTTCCTTCTTTCCTTCCTTCTTTTATTTTTTATTTTATTTATTTAGATGTGTCAATCGCTTACAAGATAATAGATATAAGTATAAACATGAGTAAGAATACAGGAAATAGGGACGAATAAATGGGGACAATAGGACAGGGACGGTAGCCACGATGGTGCGCTTATGCACGCACCTTACAAACCTCTTAGGAAAGGGGTGAGGTCAATAGTGGATAGTAGAGAAGAGGTCGTTCGCGGGGAGTTCCTGACATTGCGAAGTGCCGTCCCAAGAGCCTGGAAGAAAGCCATGGACAGGGGATGAAGGATGGGCTGAGGGGGTCTACCTGGCCAGGCTCCCTCCCCACGAGAGAGAGAGAGAGAGAGAGAGAGAGAGAGAGAGAGTGTCCCAGGAAAGGTGGGCTCCACCAGCAACATCCATCCAGGTGGGTTGGAACTGGAAGAGGCGGGCAGGTCTGGCCGCACATCTCCTGGGAGATCAGTGCCTCATCATAAGGGCAGCCTCTTGATGTCGTGATGACCTCAGGAGCCCTCAGCCCTGCTCCATGGGAGGGCCACACCAGCAGGGCTGCTTCGGGGACGGCAGTTGACAAGGGAGGAGGAGCAGAAGGAACATCCCCTCGGAATCACCTCCGCTCCCAGGTGTCAAGAACAGAAACAGGAGCCTGGGACGGTTAGCTCATTTTGTGGGGGCTGAGATGCCAGTCTCCAGCCAGACTCACAGGTGGTGGCAAGCGATCGAGAGGTTGGCTTGACGAGGTTGGGCTCAACGGGTTGGCCCCTACCTGGGCATCGCGGTTTATGAACCCAGGCTGATGAGGGCGCGGTGCCCATCCAGCCAAAGGGGGCTCATTTCGGGCCCCATGGCGGAAGAGCCGAGAGCTTAGAGCACATGAGGATCAGGGCAGGGGACATCATTAAAACTGCATCAGAATTGAAGTTGGCCCAATCCCACCAAGGGCCTGTGGCTGGGTGTTATGTGGGACACCCTTTCCCACAGGTGGTGTGGCGGCTGCCTATGGGTCATTGAAAAGAACTGCACATGTTCAGAGGCAGTCTTGTTCCCCTCTGATCTGGGAACCGTGGAATAAGCTGCTCCATATGAGACGCCTGTTTTTCCAACGACGCCTTTTTCCTCATTAAGACTGCAATAACTTTTGTACTTTCCTTCCTTCCTTTTTTTCCTTCTTTCCTTTTCCCCCCCTTCCTTCCTTCCTTTTTTCGTTCCTTACTTCCTTTTTCCTTCCTTCCTTCCTCTCCCTTTCTTTTCTTTCCTTCCTCCTGTTTTTCTCTTTCTTTCTTTCTCTTTTGTCTTTGAATCTCCTGTCCCATTTCGACTCGAATCGGATTGCCAGCCCCTCATTACCTGTCCTCTTTCTTTTTTCCTAGTCTTTATGCCACCTTTCTTACTTTTTAATGGTTTCGTATTCCGTTTTCATTACGCTGTAAGCCGCCCAGAGTGGCTTACAGCGGCGGGCAGCACAGACATTAAATAAATAAATAATGCATAAATTCAGGGCTGGGCCCACCCCCTCTGGGCTCTGGGCGATAGTTCCATCTTTCTCTCTCTCTCTCCTCCTTTCTTGGCTCCAGACGAGATGCCCATCGTCAAATACCCCCGAAGAGTCGACCCCCTTTGGCACGAATGGGATCGGAAGGCGCAGAAGTGCGGGTTGAGGCACACAGTTTACGCTGTCAACGGAGACCGTTATATCGGAGAATGGCTGGACAACGTCAAACAGGGTAAGAGGGGAAAGGAGGGCAACTGCAACCTGTTGGACGTTTGGCTTCCACCCACATCTCACCTGCAAAGCTGTTTAACTAAGCCAATTTTTTTTTTCTGCCTCGTGAACCTTGGCAGGCAAAGGAACACAAATATGGAAAAAATCCGGAGCGATCTACAGCGGAGACTGGAAATTCGGAAAACGGGACGGCTTCGGGACTTACAGTATTCCGGACCCCGTGACAAAAGATTATAAGAAAGTATATTCCGGCTGGTGGAAAAATGACAAAATGTGGGTGAGTTTCTTTGCTTTTTAATTGGGCCAGAATTTTGCTTTTGGGGTGTGTGTGTGTGGAGTGTGACGGGAGAATGGAATTATTTCACTAGACAGCCACAAATGTTTTAGAGTTACCGTGTGGAGGAAACCATGGTTTGTTATTTATAAAATGGGATTTTATAGGATAGGATAGGATAGGATAGGATAGGATAGAATAGAATTCTTTATTGGCTGTGTGATTGGACACACAAGGAATTTGTCTTGTTGCAAATGCTCTCAGTGTACATAAAAGAAAAGAATGATGGTGGGTTTGATGTTCTAGCTTGGATTTTTCTGTCTTCTTTGGATGGCTGCTCCAAATATCTCCAGGAGAAGCAGGACAAACTAGGAATGCCCTTCCTCATTTGCAAGACCAACAAATCGTGGTTTAAATAAACTATGGTATAACACATGAAGCAAACTTATTAGAAAGTCTGGACTGGGGAATTCTGGGAGTTTGAAAACCACAAGTCTTAAAACATTACCAAGATTGGACCCCCCCAGGGCAAATATTTTGCATGTAGCATTTAAGAGTTTGAACTGAGGAAGTGGTAGAGAGCGTGACCCTTTCTGAATGGGATTTACCACGATTCCCTCCCGTGTCATTCCACGCCCGAGTCAGCCACGGCCGTTCCTCTCATCCTGACTCTTTCACACTTCCAGGGCTACGGAGTGAAGTTCTACTCCGAGGGAGAGTATTTTGAAGGCGAATGGGCCTGGGGGAAGCGACACGGCTGGGGGCGGATGTACTACAAAGACGGGGCCATCTACGAAGGCCAGTGGTCCGAAGACAAACCCGGAGGCCAAGGGATGTTCCGCCTTAGTAAGTGTCCAACTTGGCTGCGTCGACGGCCGGATTTTAAATAGTATGTGAGAAGGACTTTGGGAGCAAAAGAGAGGCCGGCAAAAGGATTGTTAGATAAAGAGACTGCACAGCAACGGTCATAAGCGTGGGCCAGGTTGTCGAGCATCCAAATTTTGACCCCTGACCATTGGGGGGGGGGATGCCAGAAAGGTTGTAAGCATGAAAAATGGTCCCATTTTTCAGTACCGATGCAACGTTGAGTGGTCACTGAATGGGTGAGGATGGCCTGTACTTCAAGGGGTTGTGCAGGGGTGGGATTCAAATTTTTTAACAACCAGTTCTGTGGGTGTGGCTTAGTTGGTGGGCGTGGCTTGGTGGTTATGTGACTGAGTGGATGTGGCTTGGTGGTCATGTTATTGGCTGGGCATGGCCAACTCAATATCACTCACATTGAGACACGCATCCCCATGGCCTCTCATGACTGTGGGGATGCTGCAACAGTCGTAAGTGTGAAAAATGGTCATAAGTCACTTTTTTCAGTGCCATTGCAACTTTGAATGGTCACTCCACACAAGCAAAGTACCAGCAAAGGAGGGGGAAAAAAACTCCAGAGACGTTCCAGAGACAGGAAGTCTAGTCCTGCCAAGAATGTAATAAGGGTTAACGGAGAGGCAGTTTCTGTAAGCAACACCAGAATGTTTCCTTCCTGCCTTCCTTACAGGATTAGCCCAGTAATTTCTTCTAACAACCGGTTCTCCGAACTGCTTAGAATGTTAACAACCGGTTCTAGCGAATAGGTGCGAACCGGTAGAATCCCACCCATGGGGGTTGTGGCGAAGATAAAGAGATGGCCGGAAGAAGAGGGAGATTGCTGTTTTGGAACAAGGACAAGTCTGAAGCCCGAGCTTTAAAATATCATTTTACATTTTAATAATGGGGATAGCAGTATCTGGAGCTTAATGGGATCAGGGAAGGGTATATTATGGGGTGGAAATGGGGTTAATCCCATCGGCCTCTCAGCTCTTGGCACCTCGATGGAAACCAAAGATTAATTTCTGAAGGAAGAATCACTTTTGCCAAGTTTTATGGAATTCTGGACAGGAGCCCTTTGACAAAGCTGAAGCGTTTCGACCTTTTTCAAGGTTTTGCAAAGGCTTTCCGAAATGGAGCCTCTCTTATCGCCTGGATTTTTCCTTAGGCTAAAATTAGCTCGCTGGGTTTAATTTTATCGGCCTCGGCAGTTGCCAATGTCCTCCAGGCTGCCGGTGGTGGGAGGCACGAGGTTGGCAAATCTCCCGTTTGGGATTACGATGGAAGTGCTGTCCAAGACCATCCTGGCTCCATGCTTGCAACCCGACACTGGCCATTAATGCAGGTTTGACTTACTTCACTGTTACAGAAAGGCCGGAGAAGCAGAGAGGCGGCATCCCAGGATGCCCTGCAATTTGATTTTCTCGCAATAAAAAAAAAACATTCTCCTGGATCCAAATCTGGCCAAATCTGTTTTACTTCCCTCCCAGGGCAGCTGATTAATCCGTTGTCCTCTTTGGCATTGTGTTTTGGGTTCTTAAACAACTTTATCTCAGGCTGATAAGACCCTCTGCGAGAAAGAGGAAAGGGAACGGATTATTATGTTTGAATTCGGCATTGACAAGTTTACCATCGGTCAATTGCAAAAGGCAGCTTGACTTGGAACAGCTCAAATCCTGCAATGAGAACCACTCACACTATTGAACGTCAACATCTGCCTACCTGCCTTGGGAAGGACTTGAAAAGTAGATAGAAGTGCCAAATCCAGCCTGAACATCTGGCTCACTGTGCAATGAACCACAACATTGACGAGAGTTAAATTTACTCTACATTTTAAAAACGGAGGAGTCTCAACCAAGGCTACTTTGCCTTCCGTACTAAGTTTGGGGCACCTAAGCGAAACTTTCTCGCGTTTCTCAGTCCACGATGTAAATTTAAAAAGGGAAATTTTGGCGGCAACGACGAAAACCAACATTTTTCTTTCTCCTTTCTCTCTCTCTCTGTCGCAGAAAATGAAAACCGCTACGAAGGCTCATGGAAAGATGGAAAGAAGCACGGTCCGGGAAAGTTTATCTACCTAGACACCGGCCAAGTCTACGATGGCTACTGGGTGGCAGACATACCGAAGTGTGGCACCATGATTGATTTTGGCCGGGATGAAGCTCCAGTGCCCACTCAATATCCCATCCCCAAGGTAAGTCGCAGTCCGTGGGGGTCCAGTTCCCAGAGATTCTCCTTCCTATGAATTTGGGTCTTAAGGTTAAAGCAATGTTTCTCAACGTTGCCAGCTTTAAGATGGGTGGACTTCAATTCCCAGAATCCCCCAGCCAGCCATGCTTAGAACTGGGCTAATAAACCCTTGCCAACAGATTAGCTCATAAACAGCTTAGCTCATAAGTCATCAGATAAAGCTGAAATTCCCAACAGAAGAAACTCAGGGTTGAGGGGTGGGCTCCTTGGTGCTCTCTGAGCTTGGCGAGTTCCTTGTAGACGTCTCATTACCCAACAAGGTAACATCATCAGTGCTAGAAGGGAGAGGGGTTTGCAGAAAGGAGGAGGTGGAGCAGGAGGAGGAGGAGGAGGAAGGCAGCGTTGTGGGCTCCTTGGTGCTCTCTGAGCTTGGTGAGTTTCTTGTAAACGTCTCATTACCCAACTTGGTAATATCATCAGTGCTAGAAGGGAGTGGGGTTTGCTCCCTGATTATATACAGGCAGCCGTTGACCTACAAGCATTGTTTAGCGACTGTTCGTAGTATACGGCGTACGGCTTTTTCTTCTTGCCACATTTGTGAAGCAAATCAGTGCCGTTGTTAAATGAGTAACATGGTTATTAAGTTAATCTGGGCTGCAAATGGATCAAATTTAAAAAACAACAACAATAAATAGCCTGACAGCAAACTTGTCTTTTAAGTTGGTCAACTAAATGCTTTCGTTTTTCTTTCCAGGTTGAACTGGCTGATCCAGATGGAGTCTTAGAAGAAGCTGTTCTGATATTACAGAACGCCGAACTATTCACGTCTCAGCCTCAGAAAGAACGGGGATGACTCAAATACTGCAGATATTTCTCTGGCCAAGGTTGCTTTTTAACAGAAAGGTCTCTGATGGATGCTATTCCTTGGAATATATTACCCTGGCTGTCTTTTGGCCTTTTCCTTGTTTTTTTTTTTTTTCCTTCTTCCTTCCTTAAGAGGGGTAGTTTAGCAGCTGAAACGGAGGGATGGATAGGAGACCAAGCGGAGATTCTCGGCTAATTGAACCCCAATGGATCCTGGATCGATTATGACCGTAAAGGAGTGCAGACAGTTGTGCACTTATGACAGTTGGAACTAGAATTTCCACGGCTAAGCAAAGCCACAGTTAAGAGATTCACGCCTGATTTTCTGGCCTCTTTTGCCACGGTTGTGGAATGAAGCACGGCAGCCATTAACTGAATCATGCAGTTGTTAAGCAAATCTGGATTTCCCCATCGACGTTGCTTGTTGGAAGCAGGCCTGGAAAGTCTCAAATGGGGATTATGTGACTCTGGGATGGTACAACCATTTTAAATACCTGTTGGTTGCCAAGCCGCTGAATTTTGATTATATGGAGATTCTGCAATGGTAATAACTCTGAGGATCGGTCGTAAGTCACTTTTCTCAGTAGCATTGTAAAAACTGTTCAACATATATTCCAAGCCACAATTCCAAGAGCCTTTAAAAATGTTGGGACTTGTATTATTATTATTATGTCAACCAATATCAAACTTATCACTATTAGAAAATCACAGTCTGTCTATCTATTCTACCTCACTTTATCTAGCTATTCTCTCTTTCTCTCTCTCTCTCTCTCTCTATTCTATCAACCTCTCTTTATCTATCTATCTATTCCGGAGTCTTCAAACTTGTCAGCTTTAAGACTTGTGGACTTCAGCTCCCAGAATCCCTCCTCCAGTCACATTAGCTCAGGAATTCTGGGAGTTGAAGTCCACAAGTCTTAAACTTGCCATGTTTGAAGACCCTTGGTTTAGGGTTTCCTACTTGAGCAGGGGGTTGGACTAGAAGACCTCCGAGGTCCCTTCTAGCTCTATTCTGATTAACTGATTGATGAGAGGTCCTTGATTCTCTTTGAGCTTGGTTATTTTCAACAGACATTTCATTCCCCAACTAGATAACACCATCAGTGCTAGTCCAAATAATCGCTGCCAAAAAGCAGTGTTTCTCAACCTTGGCCACTTTTAGAAGGGTGGACTTCAACTCCCAGAATTCCCCAGACAGCACCTCTCCTTTCCTGGTTCTCATCCTGACTCGCAAAGATTTTCCTATTGCTCAGCCACTGTGTGGGTTAAGGGTTTGACTTTTTTTTTTTGTTGTTGTTGTTGCTGTTGAAAAGTTTGTATCATTGGGAAGTCTGGAAAGTGTTTTCCTTTTTTAAACTGTTTTGGAGGATGCCCGTTATAAGAATAAGAAAGGCGGGCAGAGTATTTTATAAAGGCAACAAGGACTTCAAAGAACACAATTGTGAACACACACATAGGAGTACAAGTGTGTTTTCCTATGGGAACACACCCCGAAATAGCTCTCTCCAGTTCAAACACGCCTGCATTCCAGGTTTCCAGAGGCTCATAAGGAGCCTGCAGGAAATTTTTTTTGAAACCTACCATCTTTTGACACCAGGAGTCACCAAAATAAAAAACGGAGCAAGGAAACAAATCGAAATAATAATGTTTCTTAGAAGCTTGTTAAGGGCTGGCCAGTGGTTGGGGGTTGGCTATGTGTGTCCCTCTCTTGCCTATTTCGCTTTGGCTGGTCAGCAAAACCAAACTTAGACCCAAGAACTTAATGCTTTCAGGCAGGGCACGACTCCAGCCAACCTGTTATTTGACCCAAAAGAGTCCAATTCCTTCCTTCCCAATTTCTAATTTCCCCACCTTCCCTTTCCCTATTTTCTCTGTTGATGGAAGACAAATTCCTTGTGTGTCCAATCACACTTGGGCAATAAAAAGAATTCTAATTCTAAGGAACCGCCATTTTGAAAAGGAAACAGCCCCGGTTCACGGCAAGGGAAGGCAGGGCCAGGAAAACGGTGGGCGATGGATGGACAGGGCTCCCAGAGGTTGGCATTCCACAACGTGACGAGAGAGCCACTCTTTTGCCTTTTATTGGTTTAATTATTATTTCTGAAAAGCTCTTTAAGAAGTTCCGTTCCTGTAACTCCTCTCCTTACACAAAGGTTACAGGCTCAGACAAATTCGGGAAGGTCAGGAGAAACGGGCGGGCTCCACCACCTTAGATCTCCTCGACGCTTTCTAGACGAAACGGTCACTGGGAGAAGGTACGGAGTCCCCTCTGTGGTCCAGCTGGTCCTGCAAGCGGGCAAACTCGGCCAGCTCATTCAGCTCCTGGAACTGCCGATCCGTCTTGTGAGTCACCAGCGAGCGGTAAAAGTGGACCGCGAAGATGATGAAGACCACGCCGAAGGGGACCATGATGGTGGTGGAGGTGATGGCGGCGGCCTCGCCAGCGGTGATGGTGCCGTTGCTCGCCTGCATGTCGGCGCCCGTGTTCTTCTTCAGCGGGTGGAACTTGACCCAACAGAGAAGGACCACTTCGGCCAAGAAGAGCAGGGTCCCAATGACGGTGGAGAAAGCCCAGGCCAGCTCGATGTGGCGGTGCATGCGCTCGTGGGGCGACTCCTTGACGGAGTTGAGGTTGTGGACATTGCTGACGGCCTCGATGTTGGGCAAGATGCAGGTGCTGATCATCAAGGCAAAGAGGTGGACGGCCACCAGGACGGTCGTGCAAGCGCTGAAGGCTATCAAGAGTCCCGGAGGGTAGTCGTGTTCTGCGTCTAGCTGGACTTCCACCATGGCCACCTGGAATGGAGCAGACAACGAAGGAAAGGTTCTGAAAGAGCTTTGGAGGCTGAACGACAGGGCCTTATTGGTGGTGTCCCCTTTATCTCTCTATATAAGAGCAAAAGACCGCTCATGCATGATGATAGGTCATCATCATGACCTAAAGTGCTAGAGCCCACTAACTACATAGCCAAAAAGGCGTTAAGAGTTGTTAACCTAATCCTATGGAGCTTTTTCTCTGGTAATATCACACTACTAACTAGAGCGTACAAAACATTTGCTAGACCAATACTTGAATACAGCTCATCAGTCTGGAACCCACATTACGTATTTGATAATAATACAGTTGAGAAAGTCCAGAAATATTTCACAAGAAGAGTTCTCCACTCCTCTACCCGTTGCAGAAGACCTTATGCCACCAGACTCGAAATTCTAGACCTAAAAAACCTAGAACTACACCGTCTTCGGTCCGATCTAAATATAGTATATAAAATCATACATTACAATGTCCTACCTGTCAATGAATACTTCAGCTTCAACCATAACAACACAAGAGCACACAATAGATACAAACTCAAGGTTAATCGCACCAAACTTGATTGCAGGAAATACGACTTCAGCCACAGAGTGGTCAATGTCTGGAATCCTCTACCTGACTCTGTGGTTTCTTCCCCAAACCCCAAAAACTTTAACCTTAGACTGTCTACTATTGACCTTACCCCTTTCCTAAGAGGTCTGTAGGGGGTTGTGCATAAGTGCACCAACGTGCCTACCGTCCCTGTCCTATTGTTTCTTTTATTTTTCTTATATGTACCCATTTCATGTATTCATAACTATATATATACTTATACCTATTAACTTGTAAGCAATTGACAAAAATAAATAAATAAATCATCACAAAATCTCCAGCACCATAAAGCCTACAAACTTGAAATTTGGCACATATGTTCCTCTTAGCTTCTAGGGGCTCACTAAGAAAGGATTTTTCCAAATGACTATCAGAGCATTTAGTATTTCCTATATTGTTACTATTAACGCGCTCTGATGCTAAGGAGTTCTACTCCCCCTCCCCACCTGAAAAAAAGAAATCTCTTCCAAAGGCCAAACACAAGCAGAGAAGTTTCAGTTTTAGTTTCAGAACACCAAGCAGCTTTAGTCCAGAACAGTTGAGCTAAGCCACGCCCAGGCTCCTTGCTGTCTCCTTTTTGCTCACACAGCATGTACCGTTTCACTTTCCAAACAGCCCTCAACTCCCTCACACAATGACAGGATGCTAGCCAGATGAATACCAATGGATGCTGGTAGGCAGAATATCCTCACTTTATTTTCCTCCCCCCAAACTAAGCCCGACCACATAGTTTCGTAGTGAAGCACGGGGATCGAGCTAGTTCGTGGACAAAGTGAGCCGTCCCATTGGTCTGAGGTCTACTGCAGTTGACGTTCTCCAGGCTGAGAGCCTTCCAAGCTGGCCTTGTTGTTGTTATCTAGGGTTGGTATTTCAGGAGAATGTCATCCTACAGCTTTTGTGGGCCCTCAACATTATGACCTGAAGGGAATCTCCTTGTTCAGAAGGAGCAACTGGTAAAAACAATATTATTAGGATGCTTAAGAACTGCGATCAAACCCAAAGCTTGAGGAAATGTCTTCTCTGAGCTCATCTACATGTTTTACTTAGGGTCCAGGCTGAGTAATCAACTGGGATTTTGTGAACCTTAGAAAAAAAAAAGTCACAGCGTGAAACCCTGGTCCTGAAATCAAGCTTCTCCAGAAGTCCCATTTTACTGGGAAACAAGAAAAGATACGAACCTCACCGTTGCTTACACAGAGTTGAAACTGCGTGGGCAATTCTTGAGAAAGGTTTCAGATGAGTGGTTGTTTCCCAGTAATTGCATATGGGTATTGTTTTAGTTCCTTGAACCAAGGAGAATAAAAGGTGAAAAGAAACTTACACAAATGTGTTTATACGATACAGGAAATTCCTTAACCGTGATTGAACCCTATTCGCCTTGGTGTGGAAAGCAAACAAACCAACAACAACAAAAAAACACACCCCAATATAACTCTGGTTAGCATGCAGCATTCAGAGCAGTCCATCAATAAAATTAACGGCTCACATCCTATTTTGCATCTCATGCAAAATCCAGCTTTATCTAACCATGATTAGTCAAGCGCACCATCATTTGCCAAAGGGAAGGGCCTAGATTCGCACAACACATCAAATCCCAAATCAACATCGCTGGAGAACCCAAGTGAAGACCCCAAAACTATAGGGAGGAAAGATAAGTGTTCAAATATCTGGATCGCCAGAGCAAAACCGGCTTTGGAGAAAGAGGAAGGAAGCAGATGTCTGTCAAAGGAAGGAGAAAAACAAAAGTTTAAATGTTCAGCAAAGTTTAAAAACTCCTCCTTCCCCAATGGGGAGGGTGGTTGAGATGTTCACCCCCTAAACTTTGAATTTCCACCTTGCCCAAAACTGGGTTCTCATAAAGTAGGTAGCATCAAAGGACTACAAAGCACCCACATTACTATCTATGTCACCAAAGTTTGCTGCTCAGGATTTTTTTTTTTTTTTTTGAATTCTGAAAGGTGAATGCAGAGGGGTGAAAACTTTCAATCGGCTTTACAAGTTGCTGTGGAGCTGGGGGACTTCTTGGTGATGGCTCCCCCCAGTTTCATGTCCAAGACAATCCATTTTTATGTCATCTGCAGAAGCCACAAGTGTACAGTATTTAAAGGTTTTCGTATGGAACAGCCTTGTTTGCATCTGCTGTTTTCTTGTCCCCATTAAGGCTTCCAAACAGCGGTGGGGGGGGGAAAAGTCAATTTTGCTTTACAGAGAAAGACCAACCACTGCCAAAAGGCCTCCCTCCTCTTTCTAGCATTATACAATTCCGGCCTCCGATTCACACCCTGGGAGCCTCCTTTTCCTCTTCCAGCTAAGAAGAAAAGAAAAGAAAAAAGAATTGCTCTCAGATCGATTTGAGTTTTGGGTGGCAGCCAGCGACGGTTTTTCCCAGCGACGCTAAGAGAATCGGCTCTGATGCGTTTATCGAATGGCGGGCTCAATTTAGCTAGGAACGGAGGAAAAAAAACACACAGACACCTTTCAATCTGGCCTGAAGAGGTACAAAGGAAATTAAAAAGCTGCCTGAAACCAAACATTAGCCGTGCCAATTAAAAAGAAAAAAAAATGACAATAGAAAAAAACACTTCCGGCTTTTATTCCGCTGCCAAAAAAAAACAACATTCCCCCAGTTTTGCAGGGGAACTGAGATAGAACAAATAGATTACACATCAGAAGAATACAAGGTGGTTTCTTCCCCCAGATGGAAAACTTTTTTTTTTAGAAGAAAAAAACAAAACAAAAATCAAGAGTTAAAATGCTCTGCCACCAACATTAGTGGCATGCTAAAATATAATCTGGCCAATTTGGTGGGGGGGGATTCAATGCCAAGATTGCTAGACAATCAGGTGATTTCAGGTTTTTACTTGAAAAACTTTTGCATTGTAGATTCAGGGTTTGTTTATTCATGTCAGAAGCATTGCAGTTAAAATGGAAGCATGCTATATGACATATATGACAGGGGTCCCCAAACTTAGCAACTTGTGGACTTCTAACTCCCAGAATCCTCTCGCCAGAATCACCTTGCCGATGAGATGGGCGAGCAAAATCAATTTAATAAAGAAATAAAAGTATCATTTAGATTGATAGAACTTTATAGAAATGGCTTGTTCCTATTATTATGAAAAAGCAAAAAAGTTGTGATTTGATGTCAATGCCTTATTCTACTGTAGAGGTCTCCAAACTTGGCCACTTTCAAGACTTGTGGACTTCAACTC